ACTGCAACTCAGGAACCTAAAGACTGGCAATACAAATATTGGTTTACAGTGACTTTATTTTTAGAAATTGAATAAACTACTCTATTCTCTGTTCTTTAGAGGATGGAACAAATTATTCTCAAATGTAGATTCACCTAAAAATGTTGTTTCACATATCCTTAACAAAATAGTATAGATTATTCAAAAGATGAATAAGCAGTCCTTTCAAAACCATATAAACATGTTTACTCTGTAGTCCTAATTATATTTGTTCATCTGCAGTCTGTTTTAATAGAAGTGTTCATTTCTCTACATATTTTGGACTTAAATGAGGTCTATTAAGGTATAAAGCCCACCAGTTCTCTGCTAAATACTTTTATATCAATTATACAAATATCAAATAATATTCTACAGTCATGTTACTAGCATAAAGCTGTTACCCACTGGTAAGTTTATGAATTTAATAAGACATTACCAGTAGAAAAAAATATTTTGTTATTAGAAAGGTAATATAGAGGCATGCACACTTCAAAATATAATAAATATATAAAAAACACATTTATGTATATATTATTATATATAATTGGGACATTGCAAATAAATTGCATAGCGCTCCTTTACAATTAGTTAAAACATACATTCAACTATTTTTACTAGATTGAATCTGCAATAAGTGGTGTTAAGTACCTATTTCATACAGTAAAATGCCAGATGTTCCTCTTTCATGAAATGCAAAAGTACAACTATATGTAGTTTATAGAAACTCATATTCTGCATTGCCTCTAATATTTATTTAAGACAAATCACATAGAAATCATGTACTGCATCTCCAAATAAGAAAACTACACATAAGCTGTTTTTTTATTTTTTTTATTTCTGCGTCTATTTGTTTGTGTTAAAACCCATTTTTCTTAGTCACAGTTAATAACTAATAGAATTTGCAGAAAATGCAGTATATCAACTGAAAGTAATCAATTTTTTATTGTACCTTTCTTTTAATTATCAGAGAAACATAAAGCCAAAAACAAATATAAAAAATAATAGTCATGTGTGATTCCCAAAAAGGTGCATTTATTAACAAAGATACTAAACTCAAATGCTTTCAAGTATCTTAACTATTAGCAAAAATGTAGCTTATTTGTGTATTACTCGGCTGTAGATCCTCAAATCATCTCATTCCCCATGGACCCTTTGTCTGTTGCAAAGTAGCCACTCCAAGATTACTCCTATGATGGACTACAATATCAATACAACTTAGTAAAGTAAACCTGAGATTGTAGCCAAACATGGTAGTGAGCTTGGGGTGGTGGCTACTTTACAACACACACAGGGACCATGGGGAACAAAAGTACCCACCCTCCAGAAGGAAATTATCTCTGAATTCCAGCCGACATGGCAGGAATTCAGAGATAATTTAAGGATCTACAGCTGAATGATGCACAAATAAGTTACATTTTTGTTAATGGTTAAGATACATAAATAAATTTTTAAGAGTTAACTCCTGAGTTTAGTGTCACTTTAAACTTAAT